CTCTTTTCCACAGAGCTGCTATGGCAAATCTTTTAAAACTAGGGCAACCACATAATTTATTGTCCAAACCAGATCACGGCTGAGCATGAAGGGGACACTATTAATAATTACACATGGCCCACCGATCTAAAATGGAAGCGAGAGTGTGTCCTTATGCATAACATGTGCCAACCGTTTCTCAGCTCAGGAAAAAAAAAAGGGCAAGCTCTGACGATGACCTCCAGAGCTGGGGGGAGGGGAGGGAGGGGGGCGCTCCTACCTCACCCCACACACTTTCTCCACCTGAGGCTCTGCCCTCGCTGGGGCCTCTACCTGGAATACTCAGCCCAGATAGCTGCAAGTCTCCTTCTGCTCCTTCCAAATGGCATCTTATTTGAAATCTCCCCTGATCTTACTCAAATCAGTCCTTGGCAGCCTCACCCTGGTTTGTTTCTTCTCACGGGCCCATCACACATGGTTTACTGTCTGTTTTTCCTCCTTTGGGCTTAAGCTCCATAACTGCAGGGGCTTTTTGTTCACTGCTGTATCCCTGGCATCTACACAGCACCTGGTACACCATAAATATTTGTTGGGTGAATACATATCTATACTTTTGTCTTTGATATTCCTTTCAAATCTAAGGAAAAACAGGCAACGGCCCTGGCCACCGTGGCCCAGTGGCTAGAGTGCTGGCCTGTGCAGGGAAGGGGTGCGGGTTCGCTTCCCCATCAAGGGCAAAGGGCATGTACACGGGTCGCAGGATCAATCCCTGGCCCCAGCTGGGGCGTGTTCCGGAGGCTACCAAACGATGCTCTCTCCTCGCCCCTCCCTCCTTCCACTCTCTCTCTTAAAAAAAAAGATGGAAAAAATACCCTCTTGTGAGGATTAACAACAACAAAAGACAATCATCACAGTGACCGGGAGTCATTTACACCTGCACACCTGAGAAAATATCCAAAAACTGGCCCTCATTACCTGGGGAGAGATGAGCCATGTCTACTCGCTCTGGGAGCCCCCTGCCTGGGGCAGAAGGATGGACCCTCGGCCTCCCCTCCTCCCACTCTCCAGGTGCCAGTCAGCGCAAAGGGGTCCCAATGGCTTTGTAACCTGTTTACTCCAGGGACCTGGGGCTGGGGGTCTGCAGCACAGGAGCCTCAGCATTAGCAGGGTCCCGGGGCTGCCCAAGGTTCCAAGTCCTTTGGTGGGAGGGCTGATGGTCTGCTCTCCTCCAGTCCCTCTCCCAGCTGGACCCTCCGTGACCCCAGGGCAGTTTGAGGGGTTCTAGGGTTCTCTGGAGGGGCAGTGGGCTTTGGACCTTCTCATCTTGCTTTGAACACACTGGCTGGATGATAGTGTTGCTCCTGGCGAGCGCCTGGTGAGTATCAAATAAATGTCCTGATTTTTAACTGTGCGTGTAACTGACAATCCAGGTCCTGCCACAACCCTACCTACCATATACTACAGGCCAGCGCTTGGCAAGGTTAGTCTTCGCGTCCAGTGATCAAAAGTACAAGTGGTCTCAACTCTAACGCGTTCTTCGCAGGTGAGACCCAAGGATCCCACTCAGGCGATGCCCCGCTGCACGAACAGGGGATCTCACCTCCACTTTGGCCACCGCCACATGGACAGGAATGTTAAGTTGATATAAAACTTTGGCTTTTTTTTTTTTGAGACTTTCAAACTTACTTTAAAAAAAATATATATGTTTTTATTGATTTCAGAGAGAGAAAAGGAGAGGGGGAGAGAGAGAGAGGAACATCAGTGATGAGAGAGTCACTGATTGGCTGCCTCCTGCACGCTCCCCACTGGGGATCCAGCCGCAACCTGGGCATGTGCCCTGACCGGGAATCAAACCGTGATCTCCTGGTTCACGAGTCCACACTCAACCACTGAGCCACGCCGGCCAGGCTCAAACTTACTTTTGTTGAGAGAGAGGGAGAGCACAAGACCTTACTTACTCTGTCAGAAGGGGTATCACATCAGTTCTACTCTTACCTAGCATTAAACATTACAAGAGGGGAACTTATTCCGCGGTCCCTGAACACTCCTCGAAACTACATATTAGTGGGAGCCACATGAAATTGCCACTAGTCAACCATTTCTGGACTGCAAAAACAGCATTTTATCATGTATATGGGCATTTTTCTTGGGAGAAGGTCCTAGCCTTCGTAAGACTGTCTAAGAAACTGTGCTTTCCTCCTTCCCCCCAAGAAAGGTTTTAAGGCTTCACTTTGAGAGGATTTGGCAGAAATATCACAGACCCAAAGCAGTAACATCTAGTGGAGATGAGGTGAAGAAAGAGCTGAGCCTTATGTGCAGTACCCATCAGTATGTTTAAACTTTCAACTTGCATACACAATAACACAGATCTGCAGGTTTCTGGGAACTGCAAAGTGCAATCTCTACTGCAGGATACAAATAACCAGCTTTATCTGGGTAACATTTATTTGACCATGTCTATCAAATCTTCTCCTGTTTAAAAAAAAAAAAAGCAACAGACATTTTCAAAAAGGTCACTGTGCATATTCCTTAAAACAAAGAGAAAACGATATACTTCCTGCAGAGATAAACATCCCAAGTAAACCGAAGTCTCTGTAGTGCAAAAACTCCAATGCCCCAAAAGACACATTTATTCTGGTCTACATGGTGGGCCAGGGTCCTTATAAGGAAAGATGTCCCTAGATTTTCACCAAGGTCTTCCCAGGGGACATGGCAGAACTGTGTGCCGTTCCCCTCAAAGGCTGGTGAACCAGAAATCACAAGGAAGAATTAACTGGAGGACACAGCAAGCTCCCCTTTCTCAAAAAATGGGGCTGAACATGCTCTGAGAACACCCTCACCCCATCGAAACTATCCAAGGGACCCAGCCAGATCTAAGCCAGAACCAACCAACCAACCTTCCTCCAATCCAAACAAACCAGAAAACCAAAAAGCAACAAATTTTCCAATTGTTCCCAACTGAGGTTTCCTGAGTCGCTTGCTTCCAGGGTTCCAGACTCTGCTGGTTTTCCATCCATCTCACCAAGATCGCTCCTCCTTGGCGTCCAGGTGAGATTACCTGGGTCCGGCTAACACCCCTTTCACTCTGACGTCGGGTACTAGGTCCCTCCGCCTTTGGAGCCCCAACCTTCTGCACAGGGAACCGCTTTGCAGACCCCTCCCCTCCCCTCCTCTTTCCCGCCCTACCTCCACCGCGTTACAGCGCCCACCTCCCCTCCAC